CAAAGATAAAACAAGTATAGAATTTTATGTCCTTAACAGTTATATACTCGCAACTAGTCCCTAAGGCTGTGGACTTCTAACGAATAAATATTACATTTTACGAGTAACGGAACATAATCTGGCGGATAATTGTAAATTGCAGAAGACATCATCACAAATCGCGAAAATACTCGCTCCAAGAGGATCCACAATGGAGAAAACGATCGGGAGCTGGCCTCCCGGATGGGCCGGGTGTGCTTGCAAGGCGAGTGAGCGTACAACCGGAAGAGGCAAGCACCCTTCAAGAACTGGACATCGACGACCTGGAATCGCACAGGAGCGACGATCCGCGTGGTATGAGGCGTCACAAGGCGGCCCATTCGACGGTCCAGATTGGCCGAAAGAAGGAAGGTGGCATACCCCATGACACCTTCAAAAAAATGTACGACCATTCTCCGCACGAGGTATTCGTCCAATTGGACGAACTGTATGGGGTCGGTGAGGAAAGGGAGTGGAGGGAAACGGCTAGATGGATCAAATACGAGGAAGACGTCGAGGAGGGAGCGGACAGATGGGGCAGGCCCCACGTAGCTTCCTTGAGCTTCCATTCCCTGTTGAACCTCCGTAGATGCCTCGAGACAGGTGTAGTTCTCCTCGATCTCGAGGAAAAGGATCTCCCTGGCCTGGTATATAGGGTGGTCGAGCAAATGGTGATCGAGGAGCTGATTCTACCGGAGGACAGGCCGGTAGTGATGAGGGCGCTGTTGCTTAGGCACAGGCACGTTCACGATCACGATCGTGGATTCCGTTTCGGCGGGAAACGGAATTACGCCAGCTACACGAGCTTGCAGGTAATTGTTCTTGCCAGAGAGAAAACTGTTGCCGGTTCCTTTTCAACGTTTATCATTAAGTGTGAGCTGCTCGAGCACAATCGCTGTTAAAGAAATTACGTGATGAATGTGCTGTTCGATATTCGAATATCGTACGGTTCTCGATTTCCCCGAATTGAATTGAAACGTTGAGGGAACGATTAGGAGAAAAAAAAAAAAAAAAAAAAAAAAAAAAAAAGAAATGATACGTGCAATATGGTATTCGATATTATATCGTGAAAACGTTACCGCATGGAAACGTGCAAGCGTTAACGTTGAATCGATATACATTAGTTTGCTGCTAATTATGCGATATTAACGTTTTACTGTACGTAGTAATCGATTTTTAATCGCTACTTACGTCTAATCCTTTTTATGCCTTTATAAAATTAGAATGTTTGCGCTGAAAAGAAATGTTTTTTTTTTTTTTAATATCGCTAAAAAAAAAAAGTTTATCGTGAGAAATAATCAATAGAAATCCGTAGAGACGGGAGGCCTGACTGACGGTGTGTCCTAATGTTGTTTCCACAGTCCGTCTGTCTGGAGGAAGAGGACGCTGCGCGGGAAGCCTCTGAGAACCATGTAACCCAACATGTAAATCTCTCGTTTCCCGACTTAAAAAAACGCAGAATTTACAACTTTTACCGCTAGTTTACGGCTTGCCCACCATCGATCATATACAGAGTGTTCAACGAAATTTTAAGAAACGATCCTTCCAAGCCAAAATGAGACAGGAAAATCAGAAACAAAAAAAAAGAAAAAAATTGTATTCTCGACTTTGTTTTTTTTTTTTAATTTTTGACATTTAAAAATCGACGATTAGAAAAATATCTAATATCTTCTAAACGTTAGAACAATTGTATTCATCGATTTTTAATCGTTAATAATTAAAGGACAAAGACAATTGTGTAATTTTTTATTTTTGATTTTTTGTACTTATTTCACTTTGAAGAATCGTTTCTTAATTTTTTGGACATCTGTAAGCTAAGCACCCCGTATACATATATAGAATGTTAATATATTCTTGGAAAATCTTTGGAAAATCGATTCTAGATACCTAGAGACAAATATAAAAGAGAGAGAAGTGTTTATAAATGTTGATTGAAGTTTATTTATTAAATTATAAATTTCATTTTATTCCAAAAGGGAACAAAACAAAAATAGAATAAAATTCCTCAACAATTATTATTATTAACAAAAAGATTTTTATTAACAAATATATTTCAAATTTTTTATGTTAAATATGAAATTCGTATAATTTATTATCTAAGAAAATCAATTTAATTTTGCTAAATAATAAATGAATTTTATAAAAAAAAATATTAAAAGTTTTCTTTTTTATATATTATTACATTAAAAATCTTTAAGCAATATCTTAAGTAAATTAAAATTTTCATTGTAGCTCGAGGCTTGGTCAGACAAGTGTCGCTGCAATACGGTAGTGCTAACGTGCTTATGCGGATTGCCTGTCTACAGGCGTTTCTACAGCGCAAACTTCAATTACTTATAACTTTATAAATAATCCACGATCGAAATTTTCTGCATAACAATACTTTATGTATTTGTTTCTACGGCTAAAATTGATTCTTTCCAATGTTTATTTATTGAATATATTAACACTCTATGCATATACATATACATATATATACATATTATATACCGATTTTTTCGCATTAACATTCTCTCGGCATGAACTTACAGGGAAATGAGTGTGTTTTCCCAACTTTCTTATCGCTTCCCTATCTTCTCGTTTGTGTGTATCGAGAAAACGTCTCACACGTGGATACACATATGTACATTATGTGGAAGAAATCGTTCAATGTCCATCTTCGTATACGGATATAGATATTATATATTGAGACACAATTAGTAAAATTTTTCCTTGTTGTTTGCGCGCATAAAACTATAGCGCTATATATAGTTAGTTTTAGGGATAGTATCGTAGGAGAATGGCAATATCGCCGGCTAGCTCGTAGAACCTGTACCTTATTCTGTATGATTATTGGTATATATAAAGTGACACCTGTAAGTCCATGGGTATATGTCGTCCCCCTTTTGGCTTACGTTTTTTCTTTCTTTTTTTCTTTCTTTCTTCCTTCCTTTTTTTTTTTCATATCTATGTTCGGCAATTGCAATAAGCTTATTTAATTATTAATTTTTGGTATTTGAAGTAGTACGAATACACGGATACACTGACTGACTGGTCGTAACGGTGTAATCTCTTTATCGTACACTTTTTGATCGTTACTTCGTGATTGCACTTTCATTCATTGGCAATTATCGAATCGATGCTATTTTTTTTTTCTCTCTTTCTTATTTGAATTTTTTTTTTTTTTTT